CGTTTTCAATTGCTAATTCCACGACATATGTTATTTTAATAACAACTTCACAATTTGGTGGTAAATTACCAACGGAAACACTAAAAACTTCCTATAAAGAAAAACAATTATTTAAATGACTTGAATTTGTTGTTTATTTTTCTATATCGTACCGGTTGTTCCTGATCCATTAAATAAGCTCCGTAATCCTTTTCAATAGCTTCACGATATTCCTTTTTTGCTTGTTCTTTTTCTTTAACAACTCCAACAATAACCTTATTGTTAATATGAGCTTCAAAACCACACACTGTTGAATGTTCATCTAACGGGAATACGTATTTTGCCTCTATAGCTCGTGAACTGTTATTATGATACAGCTGATATAGTACAACCTAAAATAGTTATTTACAAATTTGAATGAAAAATTTTCAAAATCTTAAATAGTAAATAATACCTCTGCAGTAACATCAACTAATTGTGCTCTTATATGAAATTCTTTTAACGGGAGACGTTGTCCAGCTGAAATCAAACCATAATCTTGTTCAGCAATTTGAATAACTTCATCTTCGATTAATTCTGGAACTAAAATGGTATCGTGATTACTATAAGAGTGTTTTAATAAATTATATGAAAAAAAAATTTAAATACCTTCAACTGATGTTTGTCGATCGATTATTTGATCTCTTATAATTGGCAAGATTGTTGGAACACTTGAGATTATATCATGTGGTTTCCAAGAAACAACAACTAAATACAGTAGACGTTGTTGATCTAGATTATAAATGGCATACTCGTTATCCTTTTAATAAAAAAGAAACGAAGAAACAATGGTGAGAAACATAATGTTAACAGAACAAGCCAGTCATTACTTCAAACATAGAATGGTTATCAATTGTCTTTTGAACACCATGTACACTATGGAAATTTTCAGGTGGCTGTGTCAAATCGGTTGCATATGAATAATGCTGTGCACTATCGCCAAGAGCCACATTACATATACACAACAAACGTTTACCATTTTGATTACTTTTGACTGTATATTTCAAAGATGTACTAAAGACAAGACACTTATCATTATTGTGCATCAAAACACTTTGCTAAGAGTCTTTACCTGATGGAATCTGAAAAATATAATCCATAGCCTAGATGACCAATATCGCTTCTTGTTCCACCGAATTCCTTAACTACGATTTTTGGCATTAGTAAACCTCTGTATGTAAGGGGAATAAAAATTATACTTAACTAAGATTAAAACTATTGTTGTATTACCGTGATAAAATTCCAAGAAAATTACTATATTTAGAACCATGAAATAGCTGACATTGATTATTTAACGTTGCTTTAAAATTAATTGCTTCAGTTTGTCTTGTAATTTCAAAGATATTGTGTACAATAACTTCTTCATTTCTATAGGATACAGACAGAAATTAGTCAGTTTTTATTATTCTTAGTGATATGTCATAATACATACGGATTTGTTGATGACTTTATCATATTAGTAATTCTGCCAAATTCAATGGAATCTTTATCAATTGTATTTATATAACAGTTTAATGAACGATATTTTGCTTCTATGGATGCTTTTATATTCCAGTTTGTTATTTCATTTACAGTTAACATATCACGTAGCATCTAAACAAACACAGAAATATAACAATTAAAAATTCAACCTAACCACACAGTTTTGTAACTTACTTGACATAAATTCATTTTTTCTGTTAATATTCGACGATTATTTAAATCTAACATAAAACTAGAATTATGTGGAATGAGTGAATAAAATTTTGTATTAATTTCAGATGATACTGTATCAATGTTAGTATCTAATAGACGCTTTTGTTCTAACAAAACAGCTTCTGCTTCAATAATCTAAAGAAAAAGTAAAGAAAATGATTAGACTATGATGCAAAATTCACTATCGAAAAGCGAAGAACGTCAAGCTAACTAACGGTTAACGTGCATAGACTACACTATTTGCTTGAATGACCCGGATCACACCCACCCAATGAAACTAGACTACTTATAAAACTACTGTACGTTCCAAAATACAATGGTCTCGGATATTTTTTGAATAACTTTTCACAGAAATACGATAAAGACCTGCGGTTTCAGTTTTGAAAACTAGACATCTGACCTGAATTACAGGATTACAGTATTCTTGGTAGCCTTAAAGATGGATGAACTATGGATAATCGACCATACTGAATCTCGTGGCATATTTGTTTTTAGAAAAAATTTTAAAAATCTACCGGAAAGCCAGTTTTACGAAAATTAGGGTTTTCAGGCTGTTTTCATATAATATTAAAAAATTCACTATTTACTCAAAAAACATCCGAACGAGAATGTAGAGTATTTCAGCGATTGTATATCCTGTTTATAGGAGATATCGAAATAAACTTTTAAAAAAACCCTGGGATTTCGCAAAAGGGTTTCCTAAAAACCTATTAACAAAAATATGCTTTTCGATTTCCTCGATCTTATAATCACGTTTAGCGGACAACATTAATATTATCCTGAGATTTTGAGCTTGTTCTGATGTTTTTTGAGTGAACAGTGAATTTTTTAATATTATATGAAAACAACCTGAAAACCCTAAGTTTCGTAAAACTGGCTTTCCGGTAGATTTTTAAAAATTTTTTCTAAAAACAAATGTTACCACGAGATTCAGCATGATCTATTATCCATAATCCATCCATCTTTAAGGCTACCAAGAGTCACCGGATGCCAGTCCTTGGACTCGTTGGGAATGCGACACAACGCCCGAACCGCAGAAAATCAAGATCTCACTTTACTCCCATTTTGAAGAGAACACCGAAATATACATTCCTATGTTGATGTCGGAAAACTCCCGCTAGTTTTCCAAAGATCCTCTGTAAAAACCCCGCCAGAAGTTTTTCCGAAATTCACTTCTGCCTACAGAAATATGTGGTGAGGTGTCTAGTTTTCAAAGCTGAAAACTGCAGGTCTTTATCTCATTTTTGTGAAAAGTTATTCGAAAAATATCCGAGGCCATTGTATTATGGAATGCATAGTAGGCCAGGAACTTTTATAACGTTCAACTAAGGAAGGCACTGTAAGAGAAATTATTTAGAAGATAAACGCCAAGCAGCAAGGTTATATTTTCGAAGAGAATACCTCAGAAGCTACATTTTTTCAGCAAACATTAATAGAAGTTTAGAGGTGAATCTGTGAATATAAACGTCGTCGACGTAAAGGTAAAAATCACTCAGATCTTCTCGTGCTTTTCTCAAGTAATAAATCTAAATTCTTTTGAAAATTACCTTCTTTAATGTTATTGTTTCTGGTTGAACACTAAGCATTTCTTCTAAATCTCCAATTGATTCTAACCATATTGATTCAACCAATTGACATATACTATCATCTATGGACTGTGTATCAATTCTACGATGCCATAATAACTAATGAAAAACAGAGAAACTAGGCTTCAAAGGAGAAGAAATTCGATTTTCTCAACATGCTGCGAACATTCATGGAGCAGGGATGTGGCAATGAAACAAAAGTGTGAGGAGGTGGTGCAGCCGGCAAAAGTCAACTTGGTGTGTTATCACTTTATCTATAAACTTTTGTATAAATTTCCAAATTAAATCCGCTGGAGAAAAGCACTCATTTCTTAAAACTGGGTGGAGGTGCACACATCCCTGCCCTCCCATTGACCACATTCTGGTCGTGGAGAAAACCTTCTCATGACATACATGCTTACGCCATCCGCCGTGAGAAATGGTATTTTCTAAAATGGATGGAAACGCTTCACACTAAGGAACAACTTTAATACACAAATTTCTGAAATGAGCTTGTTTCTTCAGCAGCATAAATTTGGAAAACATACTGATTGAGAAAAAAGAAGAGCAAATCTTTGTTGAAAAAGTTTCTAAGTTGCTCTAAAAACTTTCGAAATATCCAGTGGATTCTGTACTTCCACATTTATCAGCAGCTGTACCTGAATAAGCAATTTTGAACCAATATTGTTTGGTAACATATCTTTTATTTTTGTTATACGAGGCATTGTTGCAATACGATTATAATACGAGGCAAAAAGTTGTTGTTGTTCATTTACATCATTGGTAAACATATATTGTATTATTTTTATTTGGTTTTTATTCTATAAAATTAATAAAGAGAAATCATACTAAATAAATATGATTCTAGATATTTCTTACTTGATCCGTTGTAATTGGTTGTTTTTCATAACGAAATCGCATATGATACTCATCTTGATGATGATAATTATCAGGTACCACTTGAATTTCCAAAACAAAATAAACAAATGAATTTTCATTTGTCTCCTAAAAGAAAACATGTAGAGATTGTTATATTCGCTATTTTGATGGAACTAAAACTCCACTTACTTTAAATATGGCCCATTTTGCAATAACTGCATTTGCTTCATCAAATTTCGGTAGATTTATATCATCATAATTCCAAACTTTTATTTTACTAATATCAATTTTTGATTTAACAATATTTGCACCTTTTAATGTGTTACCTAAAAGTATAATATTATACTCAATACTAATAATACAAGCTGAGCAAATATCGGTCAGACGCGTGCTGTCATCAAGGGGGGGACAGCTGATTTGGGGATTTTTTTGAAGTTTCGTCGATTTTCATCGATTTTTTCCGATTTCCTGTAATTTGTTTAGGAAATCGAGCAAAGAGACTGCGATAAATAGTGTGGAATCTGCTTTATTTGTACAAAATGGGAATCAGACATAGTGAAAGTAAAGAAAAAAGGATAAAATCATATGCGATATTTAACGATTTTTGATTTAAACCGACTTTTTAAGCTCAAAAATCAGCTGTTTCGCCCTCGGCTATCATTCACAAAGTTTTCGGTGAAAAAACTGATTTGAAAGAATTTTTCAAGAATATCTAGAAAACATCTGATGAAGCCACTATAACCAAACGAAAAAGCCAAGTCATCCTACCCTATGCGACTCTCTCCGAAACAAATCTCATCCCCTGGGGCTCCCCAGGGAGTCGCACTCAAACTTCCTTGAAAGTCCCCGGAATGTATACGAAATATGTGATCCCTAGTGACACCCAACATGTACAATCTCCGAAGTTTTACGAANATTTGAAAGAATTTTTCAAGAATATCTAGAAAACATCTGATGAAGCCACTATAACCAAACGAAAAAGCCAAGTCATCCTACCCTATGCGACTCTCTCCGAAACAAATCTCATCCCCTGGGGCTCCCCAGGGAGTCGCACTCAAACTTCCTTGAAAGTCCCCGGAATGTATACGAAATATGTGATCCCTAGTGACACCCAACATGTACAATCTCCGAAGTTTTACGAATTTTCTTCTATTAAGTCATCATTAATGTGTCAATCTTCGTTGGCTGATATGTGCTACACTGGTAGCAGTGATCGTATCTGGCACTTAATTACTAATTAGTTATACGAAACTAAAAAGAATGAATCAATAGACTTGCAAGTAGTTCTCAAGAATTTTTAGTGGAGTCTCCAAAAATCCCCGGCGAATCCCGTTATGGGAGTCTACTGGAAGTCTCTGGGACTTTCTTCGGGAGAGTCGACTGGGGTAATGAAATTTATTGAATCAAGATCTTGACTACTTGGATGTTTTTTAGTAATCTCTTGAGCAGAGCAGCCTTTCATGTTGATTTGGCTAAAATGTAAACAGGAGCGGCAACGGTTTTGCCGTTAACGTTCTGAACTGTCAACGTCAAAAGTTCCCAAGCAAACTTCACCTATGGGAAAAAGCTAAGATACATTTCGCCTGTAATCAGGCGATACACGACTAGTTGCCATCTAGATTAATAGTTGGAAAAGGGCCTTTTAACAAGATGTCTCTGTATGTGCAACTAGCAATAGCTAAATCGACCAATTATCGGGCGATAAATCGATAATTTCACCTAGAAGAAATCTAGCAATCGCCCAATTACTAGATTGCCATTGTCGTTACCCAATAGTTACCATCAAGTAAAAATCTAGTAATCTAGATGAATCGAGGGATACTAGCTTTTTTTTATGCTTGGGTTATTAAAAAGATTAAAGAAGTTCATACAGAAGAAATAACTGGAATTGTATACAGGGAAAAGCAAAGAGAAAGATCAAGGGGACGAAGACTTGAAGAAAAACAAGCAGAAACGCGGAAACGTTATGAGTAAGAGATCTTCACCTAGATCAACGATTTACTGCAAAAAAATGAAAATTTCACTCATTTAAGAATTTTAGTTTAATGGATTTCAACTAATAAAATACCCGAAAATACCGTTGACAGTTCAGAACGTCAACTGCTAAGATACCGTTGACGTTCATGATTTGAAACCGCTACGGTTGCATCTCTACCCTTGACTCAAGATCTTGGTAAAACGTAAGAAGTGAAAGAAATTCCAAGAACCCAAACTTTTGAGCTTCTTGTATCAAGAGCCTGATTAAAATCTTGAGTATCTGATACGCAAGATTTTGGAAGCATATCAGTGGAACAGGAAAAATAAAGTTGGTTTGAGTTACTGAAAGTGCTTTTTCGTATTCATACTCTATAATCCAGAAAATTTCTATTTTCGAAACAAAATAGCGCAATAATATTTTCATGGAAAAATAGCATTAGTTCGAAAACGTTTTCCAAACTTTTAGATGCACCCCTCGCTCAAAATAGGAAATCTTCGGGGCTATCGAGTGTGCTGAATACGAAATAGCACTTTTTAACAACCCAAAATCAACTCATTTTTTTCCAATGACATAATTCTTGAATCATTATTTTGTTTTACACGCGTGTGTAAATATAAGTGCGAATATTTTCACACTTAGAATAACTTCATACTTTTTCCCTTCTGAACTGAACCGAAGTGGACTTTAAGGAATAGTAAGGTTTTTGACTTTGTTTATCATGCGTTGCTCTAGACGACCGCCGATTTGTTGGGGGAGTAATTAGGTTTCTAGCAGACAAAGCACTTCCCCCGTTGTATAGTTTATGAAGATAAGCAAGACGAAAATATTTTCTTCGAGTGGAGAGCGATGCATTAAACATAGTTGTTCAAGGATGAGTTTATATGATCGTATATTTAATGGCTATGACTGTCATAAATAAAAACAAAATGCAGAAAAAATTTTCCACTCAAGATCCTGAAACGTTGCGCGAATCCTTGAGTTGATTCGCTGAAGGCCTTAACTAAAAGATTTAGGAATTCAAGATCTTTGACATGTCTTAATCCAAGATTTCACATACAAGAAGTTCCACTAGGACAGTTTTTGAAAATTTGCTGATTTCCCTAAAAGCTGCCATCTCCATCATACAAAAGATAAAGAGTACATACAGAAATGCCGCCGAATTTTTTTGTCATTCCCAACAAATTTTAGTTAAAAGGTAAATCAAATTTATTTTCTGTTCCGACTTTAATTGATTTCGAAGCCTGTTCATCTCAAAAATCCAAGTAAAAAATTGTTCTAAACTCTTGGCCCATCTTATTATAGGTCTCTCAATTAACTTTGTGTTCGTTTCAAGTTTACGGGCTATTTATAAGTTTTGCAATAAATATCAAGTGTTATTTCACCATGTTCTCAGAACTCAAGAGACATATTTTCTTTTCATTGGAAATTGAGTAAGTCTGAAAATATAGTCCTTGAAATCTCTTTCGCATTGATGTTTTGATAATGTTTGAACAGGAAGTTTAGTGTTTTTTTCAAATGTTTTCTAAGAAAAATTGTTCTTGCGGACCTTGTGATTTTGGTCGTCATATTTAGAGCTCAGATAAGAACTATTAATGGAGATAAAAAGTAACACATATTCTGATTCATCTTTACACCATTTTTTAGCATACTGTATGGTCATGTTGAACACTCTCAAATGTGATTATGAATTCTTTCGTTCCTAAACTACGAAAAATTCAGTTTGAGGAACATAAGCAACAGAAGTTGCGAGCTCCTTTTCTTGTGACTTTTATCGTTTGAGGGATACTTTCATTCGGGTCTATCCATCATTACATTATCTCCGAGCTCTGAAGGTTTGAGTAAGCGCATCGTGTAGAGCATAAAAAGTCAGCCATAGAACATTAGGCTCGTTTATCGAAAAAAATGAAATCACTAAGGCAAATTTTAAAATATAAGGTGTCGCTAATTCAAAGTTTGAGCAGAATTTATGTTTCGGTTTTTTTATACATAGTTGAATAGAGCCTGACGAGCTGGCTAAGAATATGTGCGTTTTAAGTTTTTGGAACGATTTTTACCAGAAAAATTTCCAGTTTTACCAGGTACTCTATTTTTCTTCAAAAAAGGCTCAATTTTCGAAAATCGCCAAAATTTCAATTTTATCATCTATTTTAAATTTCAAAACTATTGTTTTCGGATTTCTCATGGAAACTGAGTCTAGAAAACTCATTTCTGATGCTATTCAAACATAATGTGACCATAATTCTTTGAACCTGAAGGTGAGGGGTCAGCATCGCGAAGGAGCATTTTTCAAATCTATCTAGTTTTTTCCGTCAAGAGATATAGCCAACTTTCACACTTCATTAGAACCGCTAGAGGTCGCGCTTTAAAAGTTCGCATCGAATTTTTCAAAATTTTACTTTATTGCTCAAAAACCCATACCAGAGGCTGAAAAGTCGGAATTTTACCCGTAATTCTCAATTATCTCAATAAAAATATCATATTCAGAATCAGCGTCAAAAAACAAGCAGAATGATATCTATCTTGATACTTTTCAACCATTTTCATTTTTTTCGAATTATCCCGCCGAAAAATTACTGAAATTTTCACGAAAAACTGAAAATAAAACATAACAGTCGAAACATACATCATTCTACTCGTTTTTTGACGCGAACTTTTAAAACGCGATCTCCAGCGGTTCTAATGAAGTATGAAAGTTGGCTATATCTCTTGACGGAAAAAACTAGATAGATTTGAAAAATGCTCCTTCGCGATGCTGACCCCTCACCTTCAGGTTCAAAGAATTATGGTCACATTACATTAGTGTGGACAAAGTGTCTAAAGACGAATTGACGAATCGCAATTTTTGGGCCTAAAAATGATGCAACAATTCGCATTTTACCACTGTTTTGCGAATTCGTAGCGATTTCGTAATTCAATGCGAACTGATGCGAACTAACAAAAATGATCAAAACCGAACCAAAAAATTGCGTCTTTTCTTCCTTTTGCCAATTCGTAAATTAGGACGAATTCGTAAGAAAGAAATTTCCGGTACCTACGAATTCGTAAATCGAATTGGTCGACCATCGACGAATTCGTGAAATGATCATTTTGGTTCCCAAGAATTCGTGTACGAATTCGTAAATTGGCAAAAATACGATAAAATGCGAATTTACGAATTCTATTTACGAATTCATAGATGCCAAAGCATAACCGACGAATTCATA